CTCTCTCTCTCTCTCTCTCTCTCTCTCTCTCTGTCTCTCTCTCCCTCCGTCTCCCCTGGCGCAAGTGCGGACACAGATGTGCGCCTGGGCCCATGCCGCAGCCGACTCAGCCACAGCCAAGTAACCAGCCGCACGCGCGGGGCACGTACTGTAGCAGCTCCGCCAGGTAGTGCGACAGTTCCTCGTACGCCTCGCGTGGCATGTCCGTCTGGGAGATGAGCTGCGGAAGCTTGACTGTGTGTGTGTGTGGGGGGGGGGTCAGTAAACAGGACGAGGAGCAAGCACTTCCTGGCTACAGGGACACGGGCAAAAATGCATGTGCCCGTGTGCGCGCGTGCGCGCACCCTCAAAAGGGGCACTCGGAGAGAGGAGGCAAATGGACGCACCAAACAGCCGCAGAAGATGCTCAAAGCCGTAGATCTCGCACAGGCGCCGTCCAGTGGCCGGGGCCGGGTCGACCACCGGGCCGGGGGCCAGGTTGGAGGGCGTCAGTCCGCGGCCCTCCAAACCAATGGGGCCCGCCGGCTCCGACAGCACGCCCATCATGCCGGATGGCGCGGCAGCCAGGTGCTCCAGCACGGCGCGGGCCTGGTCCGCGTCCTCGGCCCCCGCCGCGGGGGCGCCCTCATCGGCCCCATCACCCAGGCCGCCAGATGCCCCGGCGTCCGTGCCCCCGGGCGTGAAGGCCCGCATCGCCGCCCGGAGCTGGGCCCGCTCAAAGCGATAGAGCAGCATCTTCCCCAGCGCCGCGTCGAAGTACAGCCGAATCCCATCGAGGATCTCGCCCAGGGCGTCCTCGCTGGCGGCCAGCGCCTCGGCCGAGGTCATCGGCATCGGGGGGGCCCCGGCCGAGGGCCCGGAGCCGGTGACCGGGCCGGCCGCCGCACCGGGCTCCGCCGCTTCTGGCCCGCTGCCGGTGGCAGCTGCCCCGGGGCCCGGGTCTGGCCCGCCACCGGCGGCCACCCCCGACGACTCCACCTTCGGCGAGTACATGGCCATCGAGGGGGAAACCACACGGCCCGGCGCCGCCTGAGCAAACTCCTCCAGGATTTGCGACACCGATGGATGCCGGGGCAGGGGAACCAGCTGGGTGCAAACCGCGCGGCGCCCGCACAAACCCGGCCGACATGGAGCGCGCAAAGCATGAGTACATCCCCGACAAGCAGGGCAGGGGAGGGGGGAAAAAAAAAAAAGAAACAACAAGACGGAACAAAGGACAAGCGCCCCCCGGGCGCCTCCCGGGAAAGGGCCTCGGCGCACCCTCTGCAGCCGCGTGATGTTCTCCCAGTCGTCATTCAGATAGCGAACGAAGGACTCCGGCAATTGGAGCACGGCGTCCAGCCGGACGCCCCCCCCGGAGCCGGGGTGATGGCTGCCACCGGGGAAAAGCCCGACCCCGGCCCCATGGCCAGCGCCTTCGGCCGTGCCGCCGCCGCCGCCGCCGCCGCCGCCGCCGCCGCCGCCGCCGGATGCCCCCGGCGGGATGTGCAAGTCGCCCAGACCCCCGGACCCGGCATTCAGGAACGGCCCGCCCGGGAGAAGGGCCCGTGCACGCTTGGCGCTCGGGGCCGGGGAGCTTCCCCGGCTGCTGGAGGGCGAGGACTCGCGGCTATCATCCTCGGCATAGGAGGCGGGCGCGCCGCCGCGCGAGGAGGACCGCGCGGCGCGGCCGCGTGACGCCGAGCGTGTTGCACTGCCCGGGGCCGTGGGGTCCGGGGCCGGCGATGTCCCGCGCATGGGGGATGACCCCCGGCGCCGGATGATGTTGTTGGCCTTGGCAGCGACTGCGCGTGCATGTGAGGCCACGGCCACAGATCGTCAGCCATGCCCGCGGGCAAAGAGAGGGGCACACCACCGGGGGGGGGGGGGGGGGGAGAGAGCAGAAAATGTCGG